TGAGGATTTTGTGGAAGTTCTCAGAAAGGGTCCTCTAAAAATTACTTTTTGTGATCTATGACAAAGTCTGTTTAGATCATATAATGAAAAAATATTTTAGCAATGGAAATTTCACAGTTTCTCTTATTGTTGCCAGCCTTTTGCGCTAAACCAAGAAAATTTTCCGGTTTGTAAAGATTTGGATGAATGACTAACTTATGCACTCCAATCTCCAACTTCACACGATTGAGATACAAGCATAAATCTCACAAGCTGTTTAATGGTTTTGATCAAAATACTTTTGTAGCAGGCGTTAATTCTATAAGAATCTGAAATTATGAGTCCGGAAAAATTTCCAAGGTATTATCTCAAAATTATTGCAGTAACGAAAAAATTCGGTTCATTTCTTGCAAAGAGGGTGACTTTGAAGTCACTTTCTTCAGTCCTTATAATTGCTTCATAAGATTCTACACAACCACTGCATAGCTTTTCAGCTCCAATTATGGCTAAATCCCGCACAAATAGGTAAATCTGAGTCCTCATCTCTTCTGCGCATCTTGGTGACCCCGACATGAATAGCTAAAAATTCAACAAATTGGGCATTCGATGTGAACGACTTTGTCTTAGCAGATTTGCATCCTCTGCAAAATTTCAAGGGCACTTAGAGCAGTTGTAAATTTTACAATGAGTGCCTGAAATCTCTTTTTACGAGCTAATACCAAGCCCTTCAGTGAGAAACATTACAAAAGACAAATTTTTTGTTATTAATGCAAAGATTTGTTTTGCAAAATCAGAATAACAAACACTAAAATGACTATAAGGAATCAACTACGCAAAAATGCTGCTTTGCAGGTTCTTGATAAAGATATTGTCGCCATGACGATGTACGCTGAGCAGAATATCTATACGGACCTGCGCCTTGCGGCGCGGTTGTCCTGCTAACGTCGTGTTAGCCGTACAACTTCTCAGTTGTATGGCTGTTTCCCGTGCTTTGAATGCATCTATTCTGACGAGCTGCTTCCCGTTTCTGAATTCCTCTTAAGCTTCTTTTCTAGACACAATCAAGTTATTTCATATGATCACGTATGCATCTCTTACATCTTTGGCGTCCTCATCCTGGTTTTGTCGCAAAAAGGGCAAGAAATTGGCCGATTATCATCCCTTACTTCCCTTTGAGGAGATACCGAAGGAAACGTGAAGAAACTTGTAATTACTAGTACTTTAATCGTATTCTTAACTATCGCCATTCTTCCCTACTGAAAAGTTCCGGGGATCTCTTAGAAACAATACAATACTCCGTTTAAGGATGAGAACGAAACGAAAGTTGTCTCTCTATATATGTAAGGTAGAAAATTTGTATTTGTGTGTTTGTGCACATTTCCCGTAGTCGGATGAGCGGTGAAGCTCAGTTTGATCTGTTGTCATTAAGATTTGGTAAGGACCATAGGTGCGATAGGGGAGCAGGGTCCTCTCCAGGTGAAGGGGCTTTGGCTATTTCCGACCCAGAAAAGTGAAGGGGGTAACTGAGTCTTGAGATTAATGCTGACGCAAGCTTGCATGCCTAATGGTCGCGGGAGTGAAAAGAAGAAAAATAAGCGGTATAGAGGTGTAAAATAAAGATTTTCTCAATGCTTAGGCCTTTGAAGGTCATCTAATAGAGACTTTTTTTGACTCGGAAAAGCTTTGTGTTTCATTAGTCGACATACCATTCGAAAGATTGAGACATATAGAATCGGCGTAGACCGTCCCTTTTTTCCAGCTCTCCTGTGCATACACATATAAGAAATATCTAGCTTCAGCATCACCTGATTTTATGCTATCACTTTGCGCTCCATTTCTGAGAGAAAGAGGAGAGCTAGAAAAAAAGAGACGGTCAATGTTTACTGGCAAGGTCTTGCTCTGTGCTACTGTTAGAAAATCAGGCACCTTCACTCATTCTTCACGCAGAAAATTCTTGACAAAAACATACATGTTTTTAGCTAAAATGCCATGTATCTCTGAGTAGAGGAGCTGGAAAAAAAGAGACGGTCTATGTCGAATCTTTTGTTTCGTGAGCTTTCTAATGGTATATAGGTTGTATGGTGAAAAAACTCGTGGTTTTTCGAAATTGAGGTGGAGATATTCAATACTAACTTGCTCCACCCTGCTCCGGCTTTCTATGGATAGCAGGAGCAAGACTTTTTTGGATTGGAAAAGCTTTGTGCACCAACACTTTATATACCTTTCGATAGCTAAGAACAGAGGAATCGACGATGACCGTCTTTTTTTTCCTAGCTTCTCTGTGAAGCGAGATACGAGCAATTTTACCTAGGTACAATATCAGCCAATTCTGGGTAATTATTTTTTCAGACCAAGAAGGTTTTTCCCGAAGTTTATATATGATTCGAAAGCTTGAAAAACGAGTAATCTGAATGTCCTTTTCTTTTAATTATTCTCTCTAGTGAAAGGAGATATAGCGATTCTTGTCAGTAAACATGCATCCATCACTGGCTAGTCCAGATTATCTACTCTTGCTCAACTCGTTCTGTGACAGTGTGTACTCATTGAGACAATGTTAATTATTCAAAGGATCAGGCATTTTTCTCATTTTTGATTATGTTTCGTTATCAACGCCACTTTGAGTGCGCTGAAGGTCTCAAGCATGGGTTTTTTCAACAAAACGCTGTTGCTTCGATACTCTCTTGCAGCCGTGATGTCTGAGGAGAAGAGCAGCTGGCGTTTCCTTTCCGAACAAAAAGTGCCGTTGTAACAGCTGTTTGATTATGCCGTTACGTCTTAATTCTAGTCTCAACCTCAGGTGAAAGGGGTCAACCAGATGCCGGGTAAAGTGAAGGGTGTCAGAGAAATTCCTCCACCTATCGCATCTATGGGACGATAGGAAGCAAAACAAGTCGAAATCAAATGAAGGGTTAATTTTGCCACTGAGAGATCAAGCACGATGGACTGGCTCCAGAACAGGGTAAAGCCTGGGATGCCAGTCGTAATGTTATAATTATAATTAGAAACATTATCCATGCTTAAATAAGTGTTTACTTCAGAGAATCTGGGATGAGAACTCGGGGAACTGGATAGATTGTATGCGCAGTCTTTCATCATATGAAATGGTTCGACTGTAGATATGGCTTATTGGCATGTTTCATTACTAAAGATTTTCAATGCACGTCTTAGCAATGTTTGCATTTCGCGGAGGAATTGAAACTTTTAAGCATTAGAGGGACTCGCGTGGCAAAGAGTTGTACAACGACCATAATTACGAAGCAGTAGGTGGAAGGTAAGATCAAAAGAAACAGCAACGTTGACAAACCATGAATAGAATATGCTCAAGTACCAGCAGATTTTAATAACAGACATCCACCAAAAATGCATTTCAAGCACGGAAAACAGCCATACAACAGAGTAGTTTTACGTCAGAATTCGTAGCGCAACCCCCTCAGGCAGTCACTGTTGAACTATGTCAATGAGGAAAAACGATTGGCACAAGTGAAAAAACTACTATTCCGTAGCGGAACGCAAAAATAATCAGCTGGTTGCCGATATTGTGCGTCAAGAGGGCGACCGTGCGGCAGGGTACATGCCCGTAGCGCCCACAGGCTCCGCCTAACGTACACCTTGTTAGGTTGTATAATAAGAAGATCTGCCCCATTTTCTAATTCGATTTCTTACCGATAATATTTACTTTATTTAGTGTACAGGGTGCACCACAATCATTTGCGCGGGTATCATTAAGCGCCATACAACATAAGACCGGCTCAGCCAGCGGTCAAGCTTGATATTGTTTTCTTGGTTCTTCAACATTGTATCCTAGTTGAAAGAGATAAAATTGCCTGTTTTGCTTTTCGGTGAAAATTCATAATATTTCTCTGACTTTGTCGCGTGCTGCACGCGGGTATAGCCCCACAAACTTGCCCACTATGTGTTTTTCTAGTGATCGCATTTCTCAGGTAAAGATTCCGCCATAAAATAGATCTAATCTTTGACTTTAAGATCACTGAGGTTCGGAATCTTTAGGAGCATTCAATACAAAAATTTTGACCATTTAATAATTCGCGTCAGCTTGCGTTTCTGTCACAAACATTGTTTTTTTGCAATTCTTACTTCTTTAAATAAAGACCGATTTGGGATCTTGATAGTACTTTTTGTAGAGTATGCTTACGGTATTCGGTGACATTAAATCCAGATTAAATTTCTCATTGCCATTGTTGTGGCATTACGTTGAATATTATAGCGGAAATAATTTTGGCGCACCCTGTATATGCTTTCGAATGTTCTTAGTCTGCTCTGCATATTTATATGCGTCATCCGCCAACTTAGCAGAACTGGGAGGTTTTTTGGCATGAAAAGAGAAAAATTCGAGAAAGTAAAAAATCTATTTTTAACATCTTTTTTTCTCTCCAACTTCCCGCTTTTCATCTCTTCTGCCTCCTTTTCAACGCCATTTCAAAAGCCGGCGAAGCAAGACTTTGCTGGGATACCTAAGCATCGATTCCAAACACTGAATTTTTGAGTAATTAGTTCATAAATTTCAAGATGTTATAACTAAAGATAATTCTTTTGCCTTTCCTGGATTATCCTTCCACCGTCATGAAGAAGACTTTTTTGAGTTTACAGAGAAAATATTTGAGTTTTTAGCGCTTGTGAGCTGCTGCGGAAGCTATAGCATTTTTTGCTTACATTCAGCAGATTTTTTGAGCTGTTCTGTAAGCATTCTGACCTATGGGAGGCTACGTGAAGTAGTTGTCGGAAATGAAGAATTTATTCTTTGGTTTCAAATTCAACGCGGGAAATCTTTTCGAATTTTCCTGATGTAGGAAAATGAGGTAGAGATTTTAGTAGAGCAGGCTTGGAGCTTTCAAGAGCATATTTATTCGCAAAGTCCAGAACACTGTGCAAAATTCGAAAGAAAGAGACGGAACTTCTAACACAACCCATTAGGTTCGATTTAGGAAGGGGGTTTTTTACACGGCTGGGAGGGTGCTTTGACGGGCGAATGCTTCATCAGCAAAAAAGTTTTGGTTTCTGATATGGGGACTTACAAGTGCTCAGAAAAATTAGCGGCAAAGAAAATGTTGGATCATGCGGAATGGTTCTTAACGGTTCTAAAACCTGGGATAGGTTAGCATTTTACTCTACTAGTCCAATTAATAAAAATTATGGTAATCAAATTTTTTTGCAGACGAGCCGGCAATGAGGTTGAACATTACTTTAAGTAGAATAACAAGACCAGGACAAATCACTATGGATTGGTCAATCACAAATGTAATTTATTCCTTAAAGAGACAGTATGTTTTTAAGTTGTAGTATAACAATTTGGCACCGTGAAATCGCGCGCGGCAAAATGACGCTGGGGACGTTTTTTTTCGTTGCATGACGCCAAGATGAATTTAAGGAAATCTTGCGCTGAATGTTAAGCTTTGCAACTTTCTTACACCTACCTCCACATTGTTCTCCAGTTGGCCTGGTGGTATTACATTCTGTGATAAAGGCGGAAAGCTATTTGCTACCTCAACATCGGCCCCAAAATTTCAAAATCGTGGATTGCTCTCAAACTTGATTCATGGGTGTTACCTGACATGACGATCACGAATCACGCTTCTCTCGCACGAAAATGTCTTTCTGTGGCCGTATTCATCAACGAAACCCACTGGGTTATCCTACCCAGTGGGTAGCCTAAACTCACGAAACCGGTATTCACGAAGCTGCTGGGTAAGCGAACTCAGTGGGTTAAGTCTACCGCTGGGTCAGCTAACCCACAAAATGCCGCCAACCGGTATTCACGAACAGTTTCGATGGGTTAGCCTACCCAATACCGGTATTCAAGAAACTCCTTACCCAGAAATCGTGGGTTCCGATCAGAGGTGCGATAGGGGGAGCCAAGTCTCCCCCTACCTTCACTTTTGAGCTGGTACGGGGTGACCACCTTCACTTTTGGAATAAAAAATTTCTCGCTGGACGACAAAGAAGGAAAATAAGCAAAACAAACGCAAAAAAGATTATTGAAAGCATATATTTATGTATACGGCGGCATATATATTTAAAATAAAGGTTTTTAGTAAATGGTGTATTTGGAAGTAAAGCTTAGCAAAACTGTACGGATTTTATTAAGCAAATTATGTTATAACGTATAGCGAAGGAAGTAGGTCGATCCAGGCAGTAACGGCCGAGAACCAGAATTTTGAATATTTGAATAGTGAAAAATCATGCGAAATTTCCACTGTTATAAATCTGTTGTTTGAAGATGTCAGCAGTTGCGACTTCATAGGTTTTGAAGAGTAGATGTTGCTCTATCAGCTAGTGAAGGAATCGGGTCGATTTAAGAGATAGTCGTTGAAAACCAGAGTTCTAAAACTTTTTGCCATTTTTGCGTGTTTTTTGACTTTTGAGAGTTAAACTCTTATAAATCTTGAATGTGGAAGTGTCTGATGTTGCGACTTCATAGGTTTTATAGAGTAAGGTTTGCCTTATCAGAATATGTCTTGTCCGTTCCGATCCATTAAAACATCTCCGAGATCCAGGCTCTTGAAAAAGCAGGTAAAAAACAGCTTTTTGAACTTCAACAGCTCGTAACTTCTTCAGAACTGCATGAATCATGTTGCGACTTCATAGGTTAGATTCTTCTCATCAAGAGCTTTCAGATGATATATAATATGTGGGGGTTTAGAGCCTCCTGCGAATTATGACCGGGGGGGGGAGACTTTTCAGGCCAAAGTCTCCCCCTCGCCCATCCAGCCAATACATTAAAATGGGCGAGGGGGAGACTTTGGCCTAAAAAGTCTCCCCCCCCGGGCATAATTCGTAGGAGGCTCTAAACCCTTACATATCATATATCATCTGAAAGCTCTTGATGAGAAGAATCTAACCTATGAAGTCGCAACATGATTCATGCAGTTCTGAAGAAGTTACGAGCTGTTGAAGTTCAAAAAGCTGTTTTTTACCTGCTTTTTCAAGAGCCTGGATCTCGGAGGTGTTTCAATGGATCGGAACGGACAAGACATATTCTGATAAGGCAAACCTTACTCTATAAAACCTATGAAGTCGCAACATCACACACTTTCACATTCAAGATTTATAAGAGTTTAACTCTCAAAAGTCAAAAAACACGCAAAAATGGCGTAAAGTTTTAGGACTCTGGTTTTCAACGACTATCTCTTAAATCGACCCGATTCTTTCACTAGCTGATAGAGCAACATTTACTCTTCAAAACCTATGAAGTCGCAACTGCTGACATCTTCAAACAACAGATTTATAACAGTGGAAATTTCGCATGATTTTTCACTTTTCAAATATTCAAAATTCTGGTTCTCGGCCGTTACTGCCTGGATCGATCTACTTTCTTCGCTGTACGTTATAACAAAATTTGCTTAATAAAATCCGTACAGTCCAACAAACTTCTACTTCCAAATACACCATTTACTAAACACGTCTATTTTGAATTTTTATAAATAAAATTTATAGATATTTTTAATATTCATCGTATCTGTGGCCCTAAAGAGGGCCGTTGGGTCGACGTTAGACCTAGAAAGATAGCTCCGTTCGTCCGTTCTATCCTCCCCCCGCACCTCCCCCCCCCCCCCGTCGACGTTTTTGGGAGGTGAGTGTCCGACACTACCACCTTCACTTTTGGCCGGCCAGTGGTAGCTGAAACCACCTTCACTTTTGGGGGACCCGGCTCCCCCTATCGCACCTCTGGTTCCGATACCCACTTTTCGTGGGTAACTTCCTACCCAAGCACACATCGAGAATCGCAGTGGGTAACAAAGGATTGTGGCCTTTTCTTCAAACGCTGTAGAAGTTTCAGAAAGAAACAATGGCTACTGGCCGTAGTATGTCATACTAGAAATGCTAATGTTCCTACTTGGATACTAAAGCCTTTTTTCATAAAACCGTCAAAAAAGGTTTCATAGCAGAGAACCAATTTACTAATTCAATGAACAAAATCGAAACATTAAGCTGAACAAAAGTTCTGTCGTTTTAATTTCGAAAAATTCGTAGCTGCTCCCTATGTAAATGTAATTGCTCATGAAGAAGTAAAGAGAAAACTTCAGTTATCTCCTAGAACATCTTCGAAGCTCCTGGCGACAAGAAACTCTATACCTAGAAATTCGAGTAAGAGAACCACCCTAACTCCTGTTTTTTGAAAATCATTTGTTAAAAATCTCAAACGCTGCAAAAGAAAAAACGCGGTTCTTGAGTTCACGTAAGCTGCTCTCTATAAAAGTGCTACTTTATGCTGATTGATTTATGAAAAATCATAATTTCCAAGGAAAATGCAAAAAAATGTAAAAAAAATATTTTTGTCGTTTTTTGCCGTTTTCCTCGAAAAACAACTTTGTACAGAAAAGCTCAATCAGCACAAATTCGGGTCTATTAGAAAGTACAACTTACAGTGGCTTCAACAAACATGTCTTCAGATTTTTCTGCACCGTATTTGTGACAATTCATTTTCGAAAATCAAAGGTTGGGATATATTCTTATTCAGATTTTAATCGGCAGAGTCCCTTTCTATCAAGAGCTGCGAAGATGTTTGTAGAAAGTAGATGAATTTTTCTTCCTGAAGAAGTTTTTTGTAGGCAATTATGTTCACATAGGGAGCAGTAACGAATTTTCAAAATAAAAGGGACTGAACTTTCGGTTCAAGCTACCCTAATTTCACGCGTACAAGGCGCAACTTTTTCGATTTTTCAAATAAGCCGCTCAACCGCTTCAATGTTTTTCGAAAAGCGAACCTTAAACCGTTCAATTCTCTCAGGCAATACGAAGCCCGGTATAGGGTTCTTTGGTCGCGAAGTGTTGTGGCGTGTTTCGGCTGGCGGATTTTAGAAAAAATCCCCCGCGCCTTGTACGCGTGAAATTAGGGTAATTAACGTCACCATTCTCCGAAAAATTCAAGACCTTTTCAAAGTGAAAATTGACATTTTTGCAAACAAAAAACTCTTTGCTATGGAGTTCATCAGTGCTAGCTCATCTTGAAGATTTTCTAATACTACTGCAACTACGTAGAAATATCGTATACGAAACTGTATGTCAATCACTTGTAAATTTTGTGCTCTATTCATGCAAAAAATGTTCTGTTTCTCTCGCACTCAAATAGATTAGGCTACTTTAGGTGTTCAAATGCTTTTTTCCCTCCTTCATCCGAAAGCTTGAGCCCCTTTGAAACACTTGCAGAATCCCGACTGCAATGAAAATGTGTAATTCTGTAAGGCTTTAGGCGCCTTATCCCATGTATGTTATTACAAGTTTCCCACATCTTCGAAGTCTGAACTCGAAAAACCAATCCCCTTCCACTTTCACGAATCTGAATTTTGCATGGTGCGAGATCATGTCAATTTTAGAAAGACGGAAGCCTTCAAACAATGATTCAGTCTGTCGAGACGCAGAGTAATTAGATGGTCCGACAGTCTCCACGCCAACTGGGCGGTGCCCAGAATCTCCAGATGAGCTGGCACCCCCCGGGTGCTCGGTGGTCCCCTCCCCATTAATGTCCCCCATTTTGATATACATAATATAGAGATAAAATCATCTAGTCAAGAACTGTTCTGTTAAGATGCAATACAACAGGGTAGAGGGATCAAGTCCCGAGAATAGCTAACTCGTTAGACTTGACATGGAGGTCCCGGTTGTTTGAACTCATTCTAACACAATTTTTCTTGATGGGAAAAAACCTTAAAGCGTAGATTATGCAGATCTTAGCTTAAATCCACCGCCGGCACCAGCCCTCATCTCCTACGTCTCTACGTAGCTATTTTTCTACTATTATTTTCCTTTCTTATCTCATTTTCTCATTTTTCTTCCTTAATTTTGAGTCAGGCGATGAGTTTGAGTTTGTATTCATATGATTACCCCATTTTAAAATATCATTTTCCATTTTTTTTTGATATTCAATCATTTTCTTGCTATTTCCGAGCCGTGATCCCCCGAGCCGTGAAAAAGCGAACCGTGATTTTCCCGACGCGATCTTTCTAGATGAGTCCAACTCTCTAGATTGAGAATCCGCGAGCCGTGAATTCCGCGAGCCGTGATTTCCTAGAGCCGTGATATCCCGGAGCCGTGAATCATTGATATTTTTCTTTATTATTTTCCTTTCTTTTCAACTGGGAATATTCTCCCGAGATTTTTCTTACGCGCACATACAAAACTCAATGACTCTATCGCCACAGCCGGCATTGTACATATGTAAATAGGTTTTCACACGTGGAAAAAGCACTGTGAGCCAAATTTTTTTTGCCTTTATAACTGTCACATGTGGAAAAAGCACTGTGATAGTATTTTTTTGACTCTC